ACTTAAACAAAACAACTAACCTTACATCGGTTATTTATAGATGGCTCACCAATAACCTTTCCCTTTAAGATCATTTGTGTGATACTACAAATAGGAAAGGTGACTGGTGGCCATCTTGATCAACACAAAACAATACAATACTCCAACGCCGGGGAAAAACACTGCAGTGATTTTTTGGGAAACAACAAAAGGGTAAGTATCATTCACACTTCATTCGTATCACATACACTCTCTCAAACATACCAGAAGGGTAGGGGGAAGTATTGGAGTATTTCACATTCAGAAAGAAAGAAAAAATAATGAGCACTCTGTCACATGGCCCCTGCCCTTTATTCCCCATGGGCCTCCATGGCCTGAAAAGGGACCTACCTACCTCATCCTGGGAGACTCAAACCGGAGTAGAAACCTAGAGCACATGCAGCACAACATCCAGATTTACAGCTACCCAGGAGCAACATTCAGCAATGCAGCAGTGCTATTAGAAAGAATAGAATAAGAGAATAAGGAGGTGCAATAGGTCATCTTGTCATTCGGCATGAACAACATGTCCCAGAAGGTCAAGGAAATAGCCATCAAGCAACCATAGGCCACATACAGGGAAGACAGGAGAACCTTTCCAGAGGTAGGGATTTATATCCCACTTAACTCCATGGAAAACCTCATTGCAGTCAGAAAGGACAATCTACACCAGATCAACACATTTATCAAATAAAACACACTCTGAATAGCAGTGTTTAAACTTCTGAGAACCAACAGCCCTAAACAACAAACCACTGACGGGAAATCAAGTACAGTAAACCTGTCAAAACCAGTAATTCCCAGAGCATAAGAAGACAGCCTATTAAACAGAGTGCTCTCCTTCATCCCAACAACCAGACACCAACAAAACCGGAATGCCAACCTGCTGGCAGATGTACAAGTATACCACAGGAGGGTGAAGCTTGCAGCCTTTCGAACACCATAAGGAAAAGGAATTTATTCCTCTTCTTGTGAAATCCATCTTGGAATCTAGAAAGTGGCAAATCCCAGAAAAAATACAAGAGCTCATACAAATGGATAATCTCCACGATACAAAACCTCCACGCAGACCAGGTAGAAAAATAAGTCAACCTGAGAGCACTGGAAGGAAGGGTCTTACAGAAAATCACAAACAATGACGGTCAACAAGCAAATCACAGATAAACAAAAGTAACTACCTTGCGGGAGCAGACAATCTGAGATCACATCTTCTACATCCTGCCAAAAATACAAAAGAACCCAGAGAGCTAGACAATACCACATGAAGTCCTGAGTGGACGACCCATTGTTTCAGACTGCAACAGTGAGACTTACAGGATAGCGGAAATCATTGACTTACACCATAATTCAAATTCCACAAAGCACAGCAGCTACATCGGCGATAACTATGACTTTGTGGAGATAATCAAATCCATCACAATACAACCAACAACCACTCTAGACAATAGACAATCAACACCCTAAACACCAACATAGATACACAACAGGGTATATAAGCAATTCAAAAATTGCTGGACAAATATCCACACAGGGACAGGCCAGACAAACAACGTCTACAACTCCTGGAAATCAGTCTAATCAAGAATGACTTTTTCTTTGACAACATATTCTATTTACAGGTAAAGGGTACAGCAATGGGTAAGTGCTTTGCACCAGGATATGCATACATTTACATGACAGACTGAGAATAATCTGTCTTCTCAAATGTACTTACAAACCTTCACACTATTTTAGATACCTAGATTATATATGGGAAACATGGACATAGACCAATTCAAAGATCTTACTAACACACTCAGCACACACCACAGTCAATTAAGGTTAAATACACCATACATAACTAATATTACATAATATTTTTTGAGATACCACCACCTACAAAAGCAAAAATATCATGGTCTTTGGATGAAAGCTCTGTTTTTGCAGTAGCTCACAGAGGACTAAAATATTACAGAAGGCAACAAAAACAAAAAGAAGAAAGACAGGGATAACCATAGTCCAATCCTGTTCATCCCCACTTTCTCATGCTTAAGGAGAGCAACAAGTGGAAAAATCAACTTCAAATCAATCACATTGGTGGTGATGGAGGGGAATCTCCACTACCTATAAACCGCTGTGAGTGGAGTGTCCAGAAACGCACTATATAAGTGTAAGCAAATTTTTATTATTACTATCTCCCCAAAGGCCAACTTTAACATTTATAAAACTGGGTTTCTAAACTAAAGCTAAATGGTAAACAATTAAAAAATACAGTATTATTAAATGAATTCCAAAATGTTGCAAACAAGGAGTCCATTCAGCCCATCTTGCTCATTTACCAGTTCAATAACTAAACAAAACTAGAATTTTGTCCAGACATTTTCCAAATTTTGACAGTTGTAATAAGATAAACTTATGGCACTAAACAATTTAGATGGCAAGATCTCAAACTTTTTGTTATTAGTGCCTCTGACAAAGAACGGAAAAGAAGTATAAATACATCTACACTCATATCCAACTATTCAGTGTAGTTTCGTTGACAGATCTTTCCATAAACAGCACACTTTGAAACAGAAGTTATTGAATGCCAATCCCTCCTATTCAACTTCTAACTACTTGCCTACAGGGTACGAATTTCAGCCCTTCATAATGAACACAGACACGCACAGTGTTGCAGAAGCCAATTAACCTATCTTTGGACAGTGGGAGGAGACCCATGGAGAGAACAAACAAATTCCACCCACAGAACAACCTGTAACGAAGCGTTCTTTCAGGACCCTAGGCAGATGACACAATCCGGGGTAGAGTGAGGAAAACACGGGGAAAAAAGCATGCAGGGGTCAGGAATGAAAATAGGTGGCGTGTCCATGGTGCACTGGTGTTTGGGGGAGGTGTGGCCGAGGCAAACAGTCCAAAACTGGGTGAGTCCAAAGGGAAATCCGAGACAAGGCAAAACTCCAGAGCCAGGCGAAACGAAGACAAAGGGAATTAAAAATGGGAACCGGGTCGGAACTGGCACAGGAACAGGAACGGGAACTAAAAACTTGAAGGGACCAGGCGCTCCGAGCCCCGGACCCAGATGGTCAGGACGCCGTGGTGAAGCCGATGCTGTCAGGTCTCTCCTGGACCCGCTGGTAGGCGGGCTTCCAGGAATCCATCTTCCAAAGCTGAGCCATGCGAGGTGCTTCCAATGGCAAAGGTTAGGAGTTGAGTCGGTAGGCGAAGGCGTGGTCAAGTACAAGTGCTGGGGTCCAAAATCCGGGAAGGAGTCGATAGTTCATAACTACCAAATCGGGAGGCAAAGACGTAGTCGAAGGGAGGCGTTGAGTCGGAATACCGGTGGTCTAACAACTAGTAAAGCAGGGTAGGAAATGTATGAGTACGCAGCTCAGGGAGGAGACCTCAATCGTGAGCGAAGAAGGGAAGACTAGTGAGGGTTTAAATAGCGCTGAGTAGATTGGTGTGTGGACGTTTAGAGAGAGAAGAGCTCGTGGGAATGTGGGAGCGCTTACATGCCCGTGTGCGATTAGTGACACAACCCAGGTCCTGAAATGAACCCAGGGGTCCAGTGCCATGAGGCAGCAATGCTAACATTGTGCCACCGAAGCACCCTTCTCAGGAAACACCTGAGAAAAACTATATCATTCCCATAACTCTGAATGCAGAAACATTTTAGCAGTCACTTCACAGTACATTCTTTCTTAACGTGTGATTATAACCAACACTTATCCTACACTAACGATTTTTTCACACTTTCATATGTATTCAAATCTTCAACAAAGTATTTTAAAAATTGCTTCAAACATGGCCACTGAAATTAGTCTGCAGCACAATAATAAACCTGTTTTCAATGGCAATGAACCCAAACTAACAGCAGCTGCTGTCTTGAGGTTAATTAAGTGTGGGACTAACTGAAACCATCTCTTCACATGGTTTTAAGAAACTTTAGTAGCATATTAAGTGCAACACTGGGTTACATTAGAATGTCCTGAATATAGTGGTAATTATATCCTCACTATGTCTTGAATTTATGCATCCACACTTTGAAAAATTATTTAAATTAAAATTTCTTCTCAATCACACCACATTTTTGTTGTAAGGATATACAGTAAAACTCACATAACAAGCATTTTCGTTGTAAGGATAGTAAGAAGTGTGTGTATTGTTGATTGTGGTTATTTTATTAAATTATTTTAGAAATAGGCGTTAAGAAAATGAGACAGAATAATAGAAGCAGATTAGGCCTTTATTCTCTGGTGGAGCTCTGGCTAAAACGTAATAAGTGAGGATAGCTGAATATTTAGCAATAGCCAAAACTAAAGGACCCAGTTACACAACCTAAAATGATCACTACTGACGGAACAAGGCATCTCAGAGAGAAGAAGCTGACTCACAGACCTACTCCAACAAAAATCAAAAACCTAAACTCATTATATTGTAACGCTTACGGCCGACAAGCACTGTGTGTAAGAGCCGGCGTACCAGAGCGGGTGACGTCACCGCCCTTCCCTGTGATAGCAGGACCACAGCTACTGGGCTGTGGAGAGATCTCTCTTTAGCTCACGGGGCTAGGTCGCTGCAGAGAGACGCGGAAGTCCCGGGTTTGAGCCTCCAGTCGGGATGGGGCCGACCAGATGTGGCAAGGGCGCCCGCCTGAGCCCCCGTTGCGTTACATTGGTGTCAGAGCGGGGTGGGATAGCCCTTCGCCGGGGACGGCGATTTAAGCGGGGGAGAGTGTAACGCTTACGGCCGACAAGCACTGTGTGTAAGAGCCGGCGTACCAGAGCGGGTGACGTCACCGCCCTTCCCTGTGATAGCAGGACCACAGCTACTGGGCTGTGGAGAGATCTCTCTTTAGCTCACGGGGCTAGGTCGCTGCAGAGAGACGCGGAAGTCCCGGGTTTGAGCCTCCAGTCGGGATGGGGCCGACCAGATGCGGCAAGGGCGCCCGCCTGAGCCCCCGTTGCGTTACAATATGGTATAAAAGAGCGTAGTAGAAATAATGCAATTAAAAACAATCTCAACTTTATTGATTTCAATTTCAGTAGCTAACACAATCATCAAACACAAATTAACCACACAAGTACTACTCTTAGCATGCAGGAACCCTCCAGACCTGCAGAAATGTAGAACTTTGTTCACTATGGGCTACAAGACTTGAGCTTCTTGGGAGTGCAGAGAAATCAACACTGGAAAGACAGGAAGAGGAAAGAAGTGCATCTTCACTTCCCTGCAGGCCCACCTGTTATAGAGAAAACAGGAGGAAATTAAGCCCCTAACATAGCTGTGGTACTACAACAACTGCTCGTTATATTCTTACACGGGCCTATACTGGAAATGTTTCTGTTTTGCACAGAATATCATCTGAAAAGGTCTGTTTTCTACGCACATTTACGATAAGTGAACACTAGGTGGCAGTGCAGGATAAAATGAGCAGGAAGAGCACTGAAACACGCTATATAAAAATAATAATTATTATTATTATAATTGCTTACACTTATATAGCGCTTTTCTGGACACTCCACTCAAATCGCTTTACAGGTAAAGGGGATCCCCTCCACCACCACTAATGTGCAGCACTTGGATGATGCTACAGCAGCCGTAGTGCACCAGAATGCTCACCACACATCAGCTATTAGTGGGGAGGAGAGCAGAGTGATGAAGCCAATTCATAGATGGGCATTATAAGGAGGCCATGATTGGTAAGGGCCAATGGGAAATTTGGCCAGGACGCCAGGGTTACACCCCTACTCTTTTCGAGAAACACCCTGGGATTTTTAATAACCACAGAGAGTCAGGACCTCGGTTTTACGTCTCATCCGAAGGACAGCGCCTGTTTACAGTATAGTGTCCCCGTCACTATACTGGGGCATTAGGACCCACACCTCTTCCAGCAGCAACCTTAGTTTTTCCCAGGAGGTCTTCTATCCAGGTACTGACAAGGCTCACAACTGCTTAGCTTCAGTGGGTTGCCAGTTGTGAGTTGCAGGGTGATATGGCTGCTTGTCCTGTAAAATAATTATTGGGTTTATGAATAATGACAATCAATTTACTGTTCTAATAGCTTGTTCATTCAAGATTTTAAAATATAATTCAGTGTTTATCCTAGTCTTTTTAATAGCAGCTCATTTTTTGAAACAGAATCTGTCCCCTCTCTGAATAACAGGGTCGCTTCAGGTCATTCTTGCCTTCTACCATAAGACTGTACAACTCATCCATTGTGTGTCTGGGCAGGGGCAACATTGACATTGACCTGTTTTTGGACTAAACATTAAACTCTCTGCTTACATCTGTTTTTCTGTTTACAACTGTTTTTTTGTGCAATATATGCTAGGGACTTGTGCAATACATTTTTTATATTTATAATGTGCAATACAACTTTTTGTGTACTGTTCTGTTTTTTGTATATTCTGTACTGTGAGCAACGTTTTTTAGTGCACTTCTCACTGACTGTACTGACAGTATTGTATGTATTGTATTTTTGTATTATTTTGTTACACTGTGCTGTGTTGACTGTGCTAAGCTGCTGTTGCACTGCAATTTCCCTCACAGGATCAATAAAGTTTCTATCTATTTAGAGAGTCATGGAATGCGGACAGGGAAAGAATACAAAAAGATAAAGACCAGATCAATAGAAATGCAGACAAATCTGTAAAATAAGCCAGCATCTTCCTTCCCCTGAAACTCCCATTTCATTTACAGGAAAGTCAGGGGAAAGAAATCCTACACTTAAGTAGCATTCTGGTCAAGAACTTAATCTGGATAAATCAGGTCTCAATCTACAGTGCTCTCCTTAAATGATCAAAGTGCATAGTGTTAGCAGTCCATCAGAATTATTCAGATTTCCAAAATTAATGCAGTCTTATACCATTAAATTAGTAATGTATGTGTGAAGTAGATTTTAACTTTCCTCAAAGCTAAATTTGGAGAACTTTTTACTCCGTTTGTTACAACACGCACACGCACTTGACTAGTAATGTTTATATTAATAAAATATTTTCGAGCAATCAGGTTAGAGTGAAAGAAACAGAAAACATCTACTTCAATTCACGTAAAGGACAATAAACTACAAACATACTTTAAAAAGGATAACAGACCTCGAGAGAGTGAAAGGTATTTAACATGCTAGAAATTTAAACACCTTTCCGCGCCCTGATGGTATTCTACCATGGTATTCTGATGGTATTTCAGGAAACGAGATCACATTTATTGGTAATTAACGAAACACCTTCGGCAGTCTCTCGAAATGCTAGAAAAGCACGAGGTACTTTCTTTCTCGGTAAAACCCGAAGGATTACTGTCTATGGTCATGGACGATTAATGTTACAGTACGTGTAAATTAAGCACACCTTGGGAGATCGATAACAGGGTCCTCTTATAATGAGGTTATCTCACATATTCAATTTTATTTTCTACAGAGAAGAAATCACAACCTGAAGGAGATCACCAATTGCTTAGGAGGTGGCGCCGCCGGCTGCGAGGAAGCAGTTGCTGCTCTGCGCTCGGTGCAGCTTCCTGGAACGTCACACGTGGGTGGGAGCTGCCTTTCCAGTTGTGTCACTCTCGCCCGGGGATTCTTGTCCTGCCTGATCGCTGCTTGGACAGTCTCTCCTGCTTTACCAATGGATGTGTAATACAGTATATTACCGCAGAAGCATTTACACTCAGTTTCAACTGATTTGGACCAAACTATGGCGACAGTAATTTGCCGAGTCCAGTACCTGGACGACATAGACCCCTTCGTTAGCACAAACTTCCCTGAGCCAAGGAGACCGCCGCCTTACACGTTTTACGAAAATATCTCTTTGATTGAGCAAGTTGCCGGGGTGCATAAACTGTTAGAAGCTCCTCAAAAAGTAAGTTTTTCTTTATTTTTTATGTCTTTTGCAGCATGTTGTTCTATATCCTGAATTACTGTTTTGCATATAAGAATGTAAGACGCAGTTTAGTAAAAGTTTTTTTCTATGAGAAAGTAGACCGGCTCCTTGTGCCCAACCTCAGTCCATGTCATTTGGAGCTGAGCTCTAAATCTCCATTGCTAAACGAGAATTGTTTTGCTTTTGTTTTAATTATTTCAGTGCTCAAGTATTGAATTTTAGAAATACTGTATCCTTGTTTAAGAATACCGTTTCCGATAATGTCAGTGTACCGAACTTTAAGGAGCATTTCCTAAACGCGTACACGTATTTCTTATTGATTTAATAAATAACGAATTTGTGAAAGATATGTGAGAATGACTGTACCAAACACTTTTTTTTTGGAGTGGCCTAACGGTTAGATTTCAGCTAAGACAAACTAAGGCAATTCTGAAACTCAGGAATTGGCAAAGATTTGATACCAATTGCAAAACTTATTTGACCTTTTTAGAGCTGACCTCAAATTTGAAAATAGACTTTAAATAGAAAACAGAAGTCTGTCGGCACGTGATTAAACATTTGTCTACAAAATAAGACACTGGGAGGTGTGTACCAGGATCAGGGTTTGGAACCACTGCTATAGGATGTACTGTAACCTTACATTTTTCACTTTTAAAAGCTTTTTTTTATGTTTTGTTACACATTATCGCATTTTTCCATTCAATTACTAAAAAAAGTGACGATTCCTGAAGAAGAAATATTAAGTGTTGGGGGTGTCCTGCATATACTGTATGCAGTCGGTCCCTCCCAGTTCAACTATGTTGTAATCAGCTGTGTTAAATTACCTGACAGCAGTGGTTCCTAACCCTCTCCTAGTACAAACCTAATTAAAGTGTCCATTGCTTTTTATTTCTTTTTATTGTCATTTTTTTTCGCGAGAAGGAAACAATGTAAATGAAGGTGGTAAGAACTGTGGTGCATGATGCACTTTGCAAATAATGTTTCAGCACATGAAAGGCACAGTCGTTTTTTCTGGCTTTAATGACATTTAACGATGCATCTGCTCAACGAAAACCAGAGGGGACATGTTGTAAGAATGTTATAACAATGTCATAATGTAAAGGAACAGGAAGAGGTAAATTCCAGGCTTTATATCCCCCCACTTTTTTCCTCCCTCACACATGACAGCTCAACAGCAAAATGTGTTGTTTCTTTTTACTTTTCAGCCTGATATAAACTATTACCTGTTCTTTCACAGCCCACATTCTCAAGCAGCTCCCAGCTCAAACCTTGTCATAATGTAGGGTTGTTAAAATATTCAGTCCATCAGTCTAGCCATCTCTTACCATTTCCAGATTAACTCTCAGTTTGTTTTACCAATTAAAACTCACTTTAGTGTAATGAGTAGTTGGGGACCACCTGTTGCTTTCACACTTTAATAGCTATGGCTGCTTACGCAATGGGACATTTAAAGCCCTTCAAATGATTCAGAGCTGCTGGCATTTAACGGACAAATCCCTGATGTTGTAAAAATACACCAGAATGTATTTTGTGCATCAGTATTGCTAATTGTAAGGTGGTGAAATTCTGAGGCCATCAAATTGTGAATATTAATTATCTGTGCCACCTGACAGGTACTTTAGAGCTGGAGAGCAAGAACTCATAAGATTTATAATTTGATCCAGTGGCGATCGAAATTTGCACATTAGGTTAAGGGGGGGAAATATTAATAATGAAATATTAAAAATGTTAAGGGTGATAATTTTATTAAGATTGTAGGTTACGTGATATGGTAAATGGATAGCACTGAGATTTATCTGAGATTTAGGCAGCAGTTAGATAACTGTTAGATAATTGATTTAGTTCAGACATCATATCTTAAGAAATGTTACAAATATAGCATAAGTCACTATTGTTATTAGATCAAGTTTCATTTTGATTTAAGGTGGGTGGTGTAAACACCAGATAAGGATCTTGGCTGGTTCTACAACTCTTCACTGGGGAGGAGGAGAATAGTGACATTTTTAAAATAGGTCCTAATATTTATGTGGTAAAGACAGATTAAATTTAATGAGTTAATACATACAGCACAGCATTCTTTCGGCTCATAAAGGAATTCATCATGTTCACAAATAGAACTTTTCAGTAGCACGCCAAATTGTTAATAACCTCTGGATTTTTATATGCAGGCAGGACATGCATTGTATTGTTTTTTTTATGCTCAAGGCAGGTGAATGTAACAATTGGACTGACTCATTACATTGTGTAAAAGTCTCCACAGAACAGTTTTGTAGAATGCTTTTCAATAGTATATTATTATGCAAATGAGCAAGTAAAGGTTTATTCCACGCTGAAAAGTGAAGAAAGGTTTCGGCTGTGTTGCTTTTCTTCGTGTTTTTCATTCAACGTGTTCTTCACACAGGTCACACCTGAAGAAGGCTACACAGCTGAAATGTTGATTCTTTTCTTCTCTTTTCAGCATGTAATTAAAACCTTTACTTGTTCCTTTGCAGCCTATGCATGCTGACACAGCTCCCTACTTGAACTACTTCAACATATTATTATAAACAATAATCCAATTGATTGTACATACAATAAATACAAATGTGATGTGTTTGTGAGTGCCGTTGCACTCTGATCTTTTACCAAGTGCCAAAATAAATTTGACCCTGACAAGTATTCTGTTTATTGCATATTACACAATTTTATTTTTGGTCAGTTTTTATTCTGTATATTTCATTTTTTTGTTTTGTTTGCTAATTGGCGAACCACACATTATTCCTCACAGTAGCATGTCAAGAGTGTTGGAGTTACATTGTTGAAAACTCATTGTTTAATATTAATTGATGATTTGTTTTTTTACCACAGTTGGAAGACTGCGCCCTGCAGTTGGCTCCAAGTGGGAACTATCTGGACCTGGAGTTATCCCTGGCAGAGCAGCGTGATGATCTGCAGCAGTTTTATGAAGACATCAGGTAAGTTGCTAAGGCGACTGACATTTTTTCTTTGTGTTCTGTAAGTGGATAGTGAACTAAAATAACATTTAAAAATATTTTAAGTTGGACAAAAGCTTGCAGAAAATTTCTTATTTTCTTGCTTTATCTCAAACAAATTGGATTCTGGAATATGTCATTTCCACTCTGCTGGGTTTTCCTCCCAATCTTTGCAACATTTTAGCACACAACAAAATTACCTTATAGTGTTCTATACAAGCACTGATGTTTTATCACTTCTAGCTATAGCACCCTATGGAACAGCAGTGATTCAGATGTACCAAATTTCTCTGTCAATGTATTGACTTTTAAAATTGTATGAGTTTGCTGATATAGTGAGCGTCAAACGCATATGTAAAGAGCCTTTCTGAAACAGTTCTAGACTGATGAATAATGAGAGGAAAGATGCCTGTGGTCTTTTACTTGGCCCAAAAATGCCAGTCCTTGTAAATATGAATGATTCTATTATGATTTACAAAGATCTACTGAACAACTAAGGCTTTTTTCACCATGTATGTTTTCTCTGTACATTTCCATAGCATACAGTATTTCTATCTTGCTTAGCAAATCATATGCATGGCAGTTTCCATATGAATTGGTCAGTTTTTTGGCAACAGAGAATTAACGCTTCCAATCTGGAAAGGGCAGCAACAGCTTGGCTGCATTACATACTGTAACTTTCACGTGATTTTGAGTGCCTTTCTGAAGATGAGTTCTTACAGTTGGGATAAAGTTCTGTTAACACTGCGCTCATTGCTTAGAGGAGAAAGAAAATCACTCACTAACTGTCAGGTCATATTGAGTTTTCGGTTCTGGTAGTGCTTGCAATGTTGATATTTTTGCAGACCTCTAGAACCCAATTAATAAAACAGATTTTTTCTTATGCACTTACTGATTTATTAGAATTATATTTAATAGCATGGTTGATGTTTTATGCTGATGTTATCAGATGAGATGAGCACAACATCATGGTTAAAAAAATTATATTATTGACTTGTGAATTTTTAGTTTTTAATTACATATTTGTATGTTTCCAAATAAAATCAGACTTATTTCTGATCTGCAAGTAATTTTTTTTTTTCAAATTAATGGTATTTTTCTCTGTTTTTACAGCAAAGGGAAAAAGCCAATTCTTATTCTGAGGACCCAGTTGTCTGTTCGGGTTCACTCCATACTAGGTAAATGCTTTGAATTTTAGCTTCTTATATACAGAATAATTAATTACAGAATCAATTAATATAATAAAATCTTAAGCCTTCCGAAATGCAATGATTTTTTAATTTATTTTGTAACTATCTGTTACAGCATTAACAGGAAAAATATCTGTCCTATGCAGATTAAGCCTCATTTAATAATAGCTCTTTTTTATTTCAATCAGTCATATACAAGAAAGCTCCTTTTTCAGTGTGGGCAATAAGCATTAAGTTTGTTGAATTATTCAGTTTCTTCTAACATTCCGAACATCATCTAGAGAAGTGAAACCTATATAAGAACTTTAAATAAAATGCTGAAATTTAAGTGTTGTAACCATGTTGGAATTTTGAAATTCATTCACATGCTTTTATTATTCATTTATGATATTCACATGTCATTAAGGTGAAGATAATGAAATGTGTCATGTTTTTTATCCAAGGGTTGTATTGTCTCCTTTCGGGGAACAAAAACAGATTGACATCAACTACAATAAAGCAAAGTCCAGCAGCAGTAAGAATAGAGCTCACTTATCCCCTGAATGTCAGAAGGAAACTTTACGTCAGTTTGTGTTTAAAACTCTGATTGGTCTTTCCAATATTGGTAATTAGAAACCTCTATTAAATAACCCAGTTTTGAAAATGTGAATGTCACCATATGTTTTTTTATGTTTATAATACAAAAAGCTTAAGCTTTAAGTCAACAATGTAATTGAAATGATTAAAATACATGGCTCTTGTACAACTCATTCTAATGTTTACTTTTTGTTTATATGTTAGATTTTATAAAAGCGGATATATAAAAAATAGAAACTCACAAAAAAAGGAAACCTAGGGCAAATCCTGTCAGTTTCTGTACTAGGGAAATGTGATCTAGCAGTGATAAGGAACTGTTTCGGTAAGTGAATGCAGCAGCTCAGTGTGGAGGAAGAATTTTGTCAGGAAACAGATATTGGCTGCAGTTAGACTTGCAAAAATATCTATACTTTAATCAGTTCACCACAGTACTGTCCAGATTACTTACAGTGCCGTGAACAATGTGGGAATAACAAGCTGTGAAAATATTAAGATATTTCACATGGCAAATTCCCATCTGAAATCACTGTTAGCATAGATAATCTACACTTTGGATTAAGACACCTCAATCAATTCTAGTGTACTTACTCCAAGCAAACAAAGCTCATAATATATTTTTGTCCATTTGTTATATTTGAAATCAGTTCCTGTACAAAACAGTTACAGTATGTAACATTTACAGCTTAACTTTCAGAATTCTGGTTAATTGTCAGACTAGCTTGAGTTTTTCCCATAACACCAGTTTGTTCTGAAGATGTAAACAGACTCGCACTAGTGGCAAACTTCCAGGGCACATGCTACTGCCTGAGTAGACTTGGAGAAGGAGATGCAGGAAGGAGATGATTCAGATGTAGTAGCCTGGAGTGCTTTCCGACTTGCAGGAGGCAGGGCTGCATTACTTTGTTCTTTTAACGTCTTGGTTAGTGACACAGTATCCTGTTTTTCTTTTGCTTACAAAAGTGTTATGTCAAGATCTGCTTTTTGGAATTTGATATACTTCCATTTTGGAATCTACTTTATCTACAGCTGCACGTTACTGTACCAAGTAGAACATTTGTGTTTGTTTGACTTTGGAAAATATCTCATATCTGTTTTAAATGCCTTTTATACCCAGATTTATGTGGTTTTGTTTTATTACTTAGTATACCAACCGATTACTTTAAAATACCTTTTTTAAATCAGTATTTTTTTAACTGTTGCCACAATTAAGATGTGACCAGTTATGTGTTCTTTAATTTGCATTCTCCGCATTACCTTTAGAGTCCCTCAGTCACCTTAGTTCTGGGAGTTTTATACAAAGTTTTGTTAAAGCTGTTTTTACTTTAGGAAACATTTGGATGAGACCTTTCTCAGCGAGCAACCAAGCCAAGCTAGATCTGAAAATGTGAAAAGTCAAAAATGTCTTCCTCTCATTTATAACATTTACTTTGGTCATCAAGGGTTTAGGAAGCACTTTGTGAGTACTGAGTTTGAGTATTAACTCTAATTTGTGACTTTTACATTAATCATATAGTCACGTATTCTCTTAGCATACCCGCTGTTTACAAACATTAAAGCAGAAATCTAGAGTTTTTTTTAATCATGCTTACAGTATACCATTTATAACGGTAGTAGTAAATCTTTTTTTTTCTCTTGGTTGCAGTATTGTATCATGTTTATAAGCTTTCTATTACTCTTCCAACATAAGCTCAGGTTCATGAGAGCTGAAGGGTTCCTGTCACAGACTTTGTTTATCACAAAATGATTTCACTTTTTCACTTTTGTTTTTACTGAGCACTACTGCTGTTAATAATCCATCTCGGAGTAAAAATATTCCTTGCTTCTCTCAGCGCATTGCTCTAGTAATCCAGTTGTTCAGGAGCCACATTTCTCTTCCCATTTAATGTAATATGGATGTTTGTTTCTATGAAGTATCTTGGTGTGCTGTTATTTAATTTTCTGTCTCAATAGTGAAAACCCAGTGGTAACCTATTAATTATTTGCAGAACACTCTCCTCTCATTTTTTTGAAATCACACATTTCAAGTCCTTTATTGAAGATCTTTGCAGTCAGCCAACATGGAAAACATCCCCTCTGCTCTTGCCTGCTCATTAGATTTGCCACTGTTATTTCAGGAGTGGACCAGTTATGGAAAATAGCTTCTTTTTCACCAGCATAATGCAGTCTTTCCATTTTCTTTCTACAATGTTGGGGGGAAAAAATGTTTCATGATATAAACGGTCTTAAAAGGAAACATGAATTGCTTGTGAGTATGGGATCATTACATACTTGAAACTACACCCAAACAGAGACCTGCATACAAGTGTACCATAGAGTACAAACAAGATCTAGAGCGAGTTATAGGAATCTGACACATCTAAAAGTTATTCAGTATATATTTTTTAATTTTCACAGCTGTCAGTATTTCTGTTCCCAGTAGAAGACCTCTTAGCAAGTGTTGGCAGGCTTTCATTAATGATTTTTTTTTATACATAAAGTTTAACCAATGGTGAAGTGTGACTATTACATAACTTTCCTTATGTTCGCTTTTACTTACATTTTTAAATTGAGCAGAACATAATAAAATGATCATTTTTATACCATATATATAGACTATTTAATAATATTTGTATTTATTATACACATGTATTTATTGTTTTTATAAATTGTAAAAGTATATTTAGAAACCACTCATCAGGAAAATTTGTCATTTCATGAAAATTACAGTGCAGGTTCAAAAGTTACTCAGTACAGAACAAAAGGGGACAAATGTTTAAATATTCTTAGATTTTGGGAACAAAGGAAAACTAAAAAAATAGCAGGTAAGCCATCATCTATAAACTACATCCCTTCCAGTTTAGCTCTAAATACTAATAAGACAGTCTTGTCTTTATAGCAGCCTTTGCAGATGGAAGCAGCAGTCTTGAATCTTCTACATTTCCACAGCACAACAATTGTCCTCGAAACCCTTAGAATCTATATTATTTCTTCAGTGTTTATGTAAATATAAAATACATTTTTGAGCATAGAAACGTGATTGTTCAGCAATTTTGACTTTCACCATATTTTTTAAAAAGTGACATTTTCTCCTGCGCTGATGGATGTTTTAATATTAAAGTAGCTGTGTAATATTAAAATTACTGCAGAGGGCTAATGGGCAGTTTCACATCCTCAGACATCACTGCTGTTGTGTTGGATTTCTGGTGTCCTGCACTGATGTTGCATAATATTTATAGAACAGTAATGATTAAAATAGTACTTTTCAACATCTGCTGTAAGTACTTGTGAGTACTGTATAGATTATCCACATGTGATGACTTTCCATTCTGTGGTTTATGACAGTTGGCTGTTGTTTAACCTTGTGTGGCAGGTACATTCTTATTGTACTCCATTAATAGTCCTGCTTTTCATATCCTCTCATTTTAACCCCGTGGTATACATTTTGAAAGCACACTCCTAATGTCATGCAATATCTCTCTGCTGAAAGTCACAACCCAAGCTTAGCCCTGTGAAACTGATCTTCATTCCTGACCCCGTGTGCAGCAGTACTTCATCTATCTGTGGGCAATGACTCACAGCCCTCAGCACATGGGGTTAAGTGGTTTCACTCTGGACATTCAAGATCGTTATATAGGAGTTTTCAGATTAATTATAGAGTGGGCATTGGATGTTAAAGTTGAGCTCATCACAAGGGTTTGGAATGAAAATTGCTGTCAATTGCTTGCCTTCTGAGAGCTGTAAATACTGGTATCTAGACAGCCTTCTCAGACCTTCTCCACACCCTCTGTGCACAGCTGTGCCCCCCATGTTGCAGCCTTTTGGTTTCTCACAGTGTCCAGGATTCCACATCTACTGTACATGGCCTGGCGGTCCTTTCTCCAAGTTCTGTTTTTGTCAGTAATATCTGTAAGCAATCTGTAGTCTGTCTAGGACATACTGTAGGTTAAAAGTGGTTATTATTGAAGTTCAAGCTTTGTTATAACTTGTGAAAAGAATGGACTGTACTTGCCATCATAGATTAAATTTTTTTTAGAGTGCTATAAAGGTTATAAATAGAGAAACCCTATCATTAGGACGTTTACCTGTGAAAGAAACAGCAGGCCTCAAGGTTAAGTTATTAGCATTCTGGACTCAAGCATATAAAATTCGATGCTCTCAAAATAGGTGATTTCACAGACTCTAGTTAGTGACAGGCCTAGACTTCCTACCTTAATTCAAATTAATACCAAGTATAGTACCTAAGTCCCCGGCTAGCTCTGTTGGTAGAGCATGAGACTCTAATCTCAGGGTAGTGGGTTTGTGTCCCACGTCGGGCACCAGGTCCTCCATGCTGGAGCTTGGGCACAAGGCTGACAACCCTGTCCCGTAAAAAACGGATACCCCTACATGCCGGAAAGCATAAGGGGCAAACATCCATAGTACCCATGACGACA